CATACCTGGTAAGCTTAATGTGCATTTCTACTAGAGTTGCAGTGGCTGCATAGGTATACTGAAGATAAATTACATAGTTTTTTAGATAATAAAGATTGTTATCATTGTAGGATGGCTCGATTGAGCTAGTCAGAATCTTACATGTACTACTTAATTTCTCATAAATTTTTTGGCCTCATGTGTTTTGATTGTCACTATTAGTTGGAGTAGTAACATTTTCCAGTGTCTTAGAATGGTTGGACAGTGGGCTTGTAAGAATCCTGGCGGTCTGTATAGGTAAATGATGTAAGAATCCTGGAGATAAGGTTCTCAACATCTCAACTGTTTTGCTTGAATTATCACTTCCTGAGATTGATTAATTTTAGCTTGCTTCCAGGACTTGTTTTTAAAGTAAATAGCATCTGATATCTATCATCTTTGCATAGAACTGTAGTTTAAAATATAAAATAAACTTGGTTGCACTACAAATTGCAAAAATGCGACACTTAAGGTTATTTTTAAATTTATACCACTAGAGAAAACTTGGTTTTGCGGAAATCTTGTCTGATTTCCTTATCTAGGAAATGCTAAAGTTTTACTGTGAAAATTGCTACCCTAATGCAAGAATAAACCTCTTGTTTCATCTGTAGGTGTTGGTGGATTTATTGCTAGTAGCATAGAGGAACAGTTAACCCGTTGGCTCCGAGCAGCAGAGTTGACCTGTGATCGTGCAGCCCTTCTTGTTGCTCAAGATCCCAAGGTATGGTGATGTGAGTTATGTGACCTTTTTCAGCATGTTTTATACAAGTATTTTTTTTATCCTCCTTTTTTTTGGTTTCCCAATATTAGTGATTGTATATATTACCAAACTAATCTGCATTCTTTTCTCGCCTTCTGTTGGATCCCTTTAATATACTTGGTGGTATTACAAGAGATTGTCGTATCCGTCCTGATGAAGTTGTCTGGGGGATGCCCTTCCTTGGTGGATCAACTAAATGTGGATGCATTTTTGGAGCAAGCTCGTTCTTATGATAAAGCTTCTTCAAGTCCAATGGGGTGGTATATAAGGTAACGTACAGGCTTAGTATAATAAGTCGTGCACAGTCACCAACTTTTTTAGTTAGGATTCCAAAAGGATTAACAACCCCTTTATATCCTTTACAGTAATGCTCAAACAAGGCAATTGTCACACCCTCTTCCAGTGCTACGTGCTCGTGAGATTGATGAGTGGTCAAGAAGTCGAGAATATAACTCTCTTATGAAACAGGCAATGCCGATGAACACCTTGCATAAGGCTTAGATTTTTGGGCAGGACAAATGGACAAATATCCAGTAATCAGTTTCTACTAGTTTCTTTCACACGGTTAGTAACTTGGTATCCTTTTTTTTTTTTTTTTTTTTAATAATATATTCGGAAAAGTAGTAACTTAGGGCCTGTTCTGACTGGGCTGAGCTGAGCTGAGCTGAACTTATTAATTAGTGATTTTTAACTACGGATTAGTGATTTTTGATTACTTATTGATTATTTATTACTATACATATGTGTATATACAAATGTACATATTATTATTAATAATAATAAAATTATTATTATTATTATTATTAATTATTGATTATTATTATTATTATTTATTGATTATTATTATTATTTATTGATTATTATTATTGTTATTATTATTATTATTATTATTATTTATTGATGATTATTATTATTATTTATTGATTATTATTATTAGTATTATTATTTCAATTATTATTGTTATTATTATTATTATTATTATTATTTGTTGATGATTATTATTATTATTATTTATTACTTATTGATTATTATTATTATTATTATTATTGTTGTAAATTAAGAGCTTAAAAAAATGAAATTTGGCTTTATATGCTTTAAAAAATGAAATTTGGCTTTATATCATTAGCAATATAAATGAACTGAACTGAATTGAATTTCAATGGAAAAGAACAGACCCTTAGTATCTAATTGCTAATCTATTTTCATATCATGCATTGTAAATAATACTATAGAGTCAAAATGGCATTCAATACTGAACCACTTGCATATACTTTATTTTTTTCAGTAATTTACTCTGTCCATGAGTTCTCAGTGAAGTAGATCGGTACATGTTAGTTGATTATGGAACCCTATTAACTAGTGACCATGCCCATGAAGATGTGCTAATATCATGTCTCAGCAGGTAAACCAAAGAAATTGGAGATTTACTGATTTACCTGCGGGAAGATTCATATTGCCATATAGAACAGCTGCTGCATGTCTTGGTTCAGTCTGATACACTACTTTACTACATGGTTGCTATGTACATGATATTGCAGCCACTACAGGATTCTTATAGGTAAGCACCTTGTATGCTGTAAAAAAGGAATATTGATGTAGTCTCTTGACTCTGCCATTATAGGTAAATACATGGTGCTAAGGACTAAGGACACATTTGTATGATAGTCCATATTTACTGTATATTCAGACAGTTCACACATATCAGTTTTGATTACTGCATTCAAAGGTTCATGTAATTATGTTAATATGTAAAATAGCTGCATTATATAACATAGGCTATTTTGTTCTTCTGGTGATAATAATATAACGGATCAGCAAATGTCTGTTTATGGATTTTTACTGGGGTTGAATTCCTGAAACTTATCATTTCAATGCTTGTATACCGGGAACCCATTCATGTATTTAAATTGTACTATTTACTGAGATATTGGTAGTCTGCATGGAATTGATTTATGTTTTGCTATGAGTTTGATCAATTAGAATAAAAGAATTGAGAATAAAAGAACTATAGACATCCATCTTCTCCTTTCCTTATGTTAGTAATGTAAGTGCTACAAGTGATATCTTTGGTAGTAAGTACAACAATTTTCTGTCAATGAAGATAAGTTTCAAATGAAATGATGAATAAAAACTTGTATAAAGACCTTGAATATTTTACTTGTATTATATGACAAGCAAATTATAATGTACAAATCTGATGAACATTAAGCACCATCATCAACTGAACTCCAACCGGGTACTTTCTTCAAGTTTCCTTCCTTTATCACCTTTCTTTGACTCAATACATCTTCCCACCTACCATCCTCTGCATACATATTAGACAAAATAACACGAACTCCATGATTGTGAGGATCCAATTCTAAAATCTCATTTACTACTCTTTCAGCAACAACAATATTCCCACATTTCTTACAAGCACTCAACAAAGCTCCCCAAATCATCACATCTGCTTTCCATTTCATATCTCGTATCAATTGCTCTGCTTCAATTAACTTCCCTTCTCGACCAAGAAGATCAACCATACAGCTAAAGTGCTCTAGTTTCGGCTCAATATTGTAATCTTGTTTCATAGAACGGAAAAACTTTCGACCTTCTTCAAGGAAACCCCCATGGCAGCAAGCAGATAAAACTGCCACAAATGTAATGCCATTAGGCACGATTCCCTCGATTTTAAGCTTTCGGAAAAGCTCCAGTGCTGCTTCAGCGTGCCCATGAACAGCCAACCCATGAATCATAGCATTCCAAGTTGCAACATTCTTCTCCTGCATACTGTAAAACACTTCTCTAGCCTTAATCAAAGCTCCATTCTTTGCATACATGTGAACCAATGCAGTCCCAAGAATCACCCCCAATTCAACACCTTTTTCAATCATAAACACCTCAATCTTCTCCCCTATCATCAAGCACCCTTCTCGAGCACAGGCCGATAACACCGACGCCAAAGTCGCGCCATTCGGCTCAAGTCCATGATCAACCATTTGATTAAACAACACCAAAGCCTCATCTGAGTAGTCATTCTGAGCATACCCACAAATCATACTAGTCCAAATACTCAAATTTCTCTCAGAAATTTCATCAAACACTTGGCGTGCATCGCTCAAACTTCCTGAAACACTATACCCCCTCACTAACCCATTAACAGCATGCAATTCCAAATCCAACCCAAGTTTAATTACATGGGAATGAACCTGTTTACACCCACAAATCGATTTCATATTCGAACACGCCTTAAAAAGAAAAGGAAACGTATGTTTTCCGGGCAAAACATTCATCCTTCTCATTTGAACATACAATAACAAAGCATTTGAGGGATTTTCAGTACTAGCTTGAGCTCTGATCATGGTATTGTACATAAAATTATTGGGTTCTTGGGTGTAATTAAATAGCTTTACGGCGTAATTGATGTCGCCGGAATTCGATAAGGCGCAGAAGGAGAGCAACCGGCTGGCAGCGAAGGTGTCGTGAATGCGAGCCGAGGTGATCATCTGAGCGTGGACTTGTTTGAGTTGATGCATTGAAGTGCATCTGTCTGCTAGGATAGAGAGAGATGGAGGTGAGTTTTGGGGGAGAGAAGAGAAAGAAGAAGATGAGTTGGTGAAATGTTTGATGATGGAGGGTTTTGGCGGGAACATTGAATTTTGGTGGTTTTACTGGTTTAGGCATTTGGGTTGGATGTTCTAGAGAACGAAGAAGGTATTCATGGGACGAGATTATATCGAGCGGAAATTTCGTAATGAAATTGAAATAAATTTGTAGTCGAAAGAGACTTTATAACATGTGAATAAGTGCATAAAATGAGGAATCTTTTCATAATTTTAGGCTAAATTTGTAGTCGAAAGAGACTTTATAACATGTGAATAAGTGCATAAAATGAGAAATCTTTTCATAATTTTAGGCGAAAGGAGATCACATAGACAATAGAATGTATTTTGGAATAGAAAGTTATATTCTACGGAGTACTAAATATGAAAATTGCCATTATGCCACATTACATGCAACTGTTTCCCATGTAGTGATTATTTTTTTTTAAAAAAACATTTCTCAGGTCGATAACTAAAATGAGTTAATGATTGAACATTGCCACCTTGTTTAGTATCCTTGGTATGTTTTGCTGCAATACTTGATTTATATCATTGTACATAGATAAACTTGTTCTCATTGTACGTTTAATGGTATGCTTTTACAAACTTATTAGTTTAGATTTCCATGTATGTGTGAATGAGTAGATTTTAATCTAACATCCAAAGTGGTCTAAGAAGAAATACCTCAACTTCTTTTCTCTCTCTTTTTCTTTTTTTTTTTCTTAGGTGGGGGGATGGAAGTCATGGAACTATGAATTTGGAGATGAAAGTTGGAACAAAAAACAACAAATGGATATATTTTCACACACATTATACATATTCTTGAACCTCGACGTGTAGAAAAACATGTAATACAAACAAAAGGCTGGTGTAGAAGAAGGAAAATACAGGGGGGGTGGGATTGGAGGAAAATATTGTGAACATGTTTTACAGTATTGCCAATCATAGAAATTTTACATATGTAATAAAGTAGTTATCTGAATCCAAAGATGTGATTCAAGATAATTTTTGGTAAGTTAAGATGGCTGTTAAACACCATCTGGTGCGCTCATTTCAGCTTCTTTGGTTACAGACTTCCCTTTTGTACTTCGCTCATTCCTACAGCTCCCTGCGAATTTCATGCTTACATCATGTAGGCCTCTCTTCTGTTCCTCTGCATCCCATTCCTTCAGGTAATAGTCTTCTTCTGTAAAGTTTGCTTTCGGACTACAAAAAACACCTCCCCATTGTGGGAAGTATATGGAAACTATGCCGAGGGAGCATGCTATGATCATAACACCCATGTATGTTATTCCTCGTTCTGTTGTGAATTGAGATCCTCTAAAGAAGATCACTTGAGTAAGGACTGCACCCACATTTCCGCCAGCACCAGTCATCCCCGAAACCACCCCCAAAGATCTGAAGAGTGACGTAGAGTAGTTAGGAATATACAATATATTTTTATGTAAGCTGTAAGCTTGACAACCATCTGACAAGTTAATGGTTTTCTAAGATTTTATGTATTTTTACAAGTTTTATTAGCATATATAGAATTTTTGAATCACTCTTTAAATGTCTAATTAATCATATGATCTGATGTAAATTAGAAGGTTAAACCTACCATCAAATCCAATATATTTGCTGAATCAAAATTTTGATTTCTAATTTACTCTAATGAAATAGTTGTATGTTATACTATTTTTATTTTACCTTGCATTCTAATATACTTTTACAGTTGTACATGTTATCTTTAATTTGATTTCGTATGGCTGAAATTGGTAAATGCAATTGCGGGTTAAAGTGAAAGAAACATAACATGTATTTACCTTCTGGAGACGAAAGGAACGACCCCAAAGGTAAGTCCTTCGGCTGCTTGAACAAATAAAGAGAAGATAATCATCACTGCAATAGATGCAGCTAAAGTGTCAATCAGTCCCAAAGCAATGCACAATACACCACTTATCGTTTGGACAATCCACCAGCTCCACAGTCTTCCCCTCATTCCATACTTTTTCGCCATGAAATCTGACAAGCCTCCACCTATAGGCCTGGAGAAAAGATTAACCATCCCAAAAGTGGCTGCAACAATTCCCGAAAGGTTAAGGTTAAGATTAAATCTGTCATAGAAGTAGTAAGCAACGATATTGTTTACAGCTAGCTCTACCCCAAAACAGAACCCATATCCTAGAGCAGTGATCCAGCTCCTATAATTGGAGATCCCATGATATAAAACCTTTTTCGCATTATCCTTATGCATGTTACCAGACTTCTGCAGCTGGTGGAAATTTCCATCAGGCAGGTCTTGGCCGAGAAGCATTACTGCGAATGCTGAAGACATCTGAAAGAGGGCAGGTATGAAGAATGCTATCCTCCAGGCTACAAAATTTGTGGCTCCTGTCTTAAGGATAGCAGTATAGACTAGTGGCATAACCAATTGGGCAACCCCTCCCCCGAGGTTGCCCCATCCGGCTGACTGCCCATTGGCTAGTCCAACTACTGTTGGAGAGAACATTGAGCTCATCCAGTATTGGGTTGAGACAAAAGTGGCTAAAGCAAAGCCTGTGAAAAATCGCATAGCAAAAAAACCCGGTGCAGAGTCTGCCACAGCAGACAGGTAAACTGCTGGTGCAGTGAGCAGGGTTAGGGTTGCAGAAGCAAGCCGTGGCCCAAACAAGTCACAGGCAGTACCCATGAGAACGCGTGCAAATATTGCTCCTGAAACTGACCCTACTCCTGCATTACCAATATCATTTTGTGTGAGATTGAGGTTATCACGAATGATAGGAAGCAGAGGCGGGGCAGCAAAAGTTGACAGGAAGCAGGAGAAGAATTGTATCCAGCATAAATGAAAGGCCCGCATATGAGGCTTTGCCACAGATACGAGTGGAAAGACTGTGGCCTTGTTCTCTGCATCCACTGGAAGAGCAAACTTTTTTGTTTCGATCTCATCCACACCATTCAAGGTTGGCATCAGATCACTCATATTAATTGCTCTACTATTAATCTATTATGCTACTATTGTGTTTAAACTTATATGTCACTTATTCTCTTCTATTGCACTGAAAAGATGTGTGATCTTGCAAATAAAAGGCTTCACCCTACCATGCTTATATACTGAAGCATACTGTCCTAGATTGACGCGGTCAGTAATACTAAACGATTATGTTGCTGTACTTTTTTTTGTATCAGCTGTTTCTCAGTCTGTCTCAATCATGTAAGCTGTTTATTAATGTACGATGTCAGCTCAATGAATATTCACTATCTCGCCAAGTCAACAGTTTAAGGTAACGAAAGTACAAGGAATCCGTATACTGTTGATTTCTTGACAGTAACATATCATCTATCACAGAATATTCTGCAAGTAAACTGTTCCTCAGTCTGAGACTTGGCGGATGGTGTATGCATGCCCTTTGCATAACTCTACGATTCTTTTCTTCTGTCTGACCGAGTACTAATTTGTTAGCATCTTGTTTATGCAATGTACAATGTAGTAATGGTGTTATTAGTTATAGATGATTAGTTTTGAGCGAGAGGTAAAAAGATTTAAATCTCTGCCCCTCTAATATTTTCGTTCAAGATCGTCACTGCTTACTAAGTTTATTGTTTGAAAATGATAGTTTTATATGATTCTCATTGATAATCCCAATTTTTTTTTGTCAATACTAACTTGAGTCATGAGGGTATTATAGGTTTATACAGTTATACTAAAGTATTTTAGAGATATTACTTCGTATATTCTATGAATCCTACTACGGACTATGTAAAATAATTAATTTTGTAAATGTCATTTTATTCTTCTAAATTTTTTTATATATGCTAGTGTTGCAAGTCAAAGGTGCCGTTTCATGTGAAACAAACGAAGATTGCGACTTATGATCTTTTCATGTATAAAAAGGGTTACCCATTGGCTACTATGAAGAATTGAATATGGTACGGGTCTACTTTTTATTGCGACATTGCTGCCTATGAATAATAATAAAGTCTTTATGTTTTTTCGTTGTCTCTATGTAGCGAGCACATTTTGATTTTTGGAGATAGTGCAATAACTTAACCCGTGTTCTCTTCACCCGAAATAAGGTGTTTTGGACTGATTTATGTTGTGTTTTTTTTAGCTTAGTTTGAATCACTCCATGTATGGTTTGATTTATCTCTTGGTTTTAATTAACTTTGAATGTAATTGTATGTTGATACATACTTCGTATAAAAAATTATTAATGAGGTATTATTTGATTTGTTTTATTGTGTATTTTCTACGATTTGAATTAGTAAATGATTTCAGATAATTGGCAAATATGCAACACAAATAAGAAAAATTTAGAATTTTTTTCTGATCCGATTTGATGAGATTTGAATTTATTAAAAATAATAACTCCATAGTATGTAATATAATGTCATTCATAGGTAAGGTGATGTTACTCTTACTTATAATTAATGAAGGATTACATGTTTCTTGTTTATTTGGACATCATCATTATAGTTGGTGAACATAGTAATGTAATTCATATGCACTTGACTTATTTTGCTTTGTCATATCTATACATATTATGGAGTATTATTGCATGTAATGGTATAATCTTTGTAAGAAAATCCACTATTCCCCTTTCTTCTATAGTTCTATTCCATCACAATCAATTTACTTGGAACACTAGTTGCTAGATTAGGAACGCAAGTATAATAAATGTGAGATAATTACCAATGAGAAGAGTTTGGACAAGTTTTTATATGTGGCCTTGATAAGCTCTAAGGCCTAGAGAGTAACTTGGGCTGAGGTAGGCTTAAGGACCTCAGTAGTATTCATGGTTTATTATGATCTTTGATGCACACTTGACAATTAATTATCATTATTTACACATTAGTATAAATTATTCTCCACGTAATAAATGTTTGATGTTTGTATGAGTGATATATAATATTCATTATTTTTCAAGTGATAATCATATACAAATACTTGAATTTTGTTAATTTTTCCCAATTCATAAAGATGTATTTACTTTTGTATTTGAATTTTTAGCATCTACTTTTTGCATACAAAATAAAACAACTAAAATGTGAATGTTAATATCATGAGTATAAAAAAAAAACGCGAATAAAGTATAAGAGAGTGACCAGAGACAGAACAAAAAATATTTATGTAGTTCTCTCTTAGTTGTAATCATGTAATGTTTTGACTTTTACATTACACACTGCATAATTTCAACCCTTTATATCTCCAATTTAAACAAATGTTAATTTTAATATCGTGAAAACATAAATTAAATATAGCTATTAAAATTTTTCATGACTATATTTTGTACAAATATAATTTAACATTAAAGGTGATAAAAAAAGAAAACATGTTAAACTAAATGAGAATGGAGGAAAAAAATATAAACAAAACATTAAAGGAGGATTGTAAAACTTTTATAGAGTGAAATCAATTAAAGAAAAACGTTAAGAACAAACAAGACAATACTTATTTTATTTGGTGTTAATGAGAGCAGAGGACAGGTGAAGAGAATCGATCTCATGATTTTCTAAAATAGGACGAAAGATTTAACTAAATGATGTATCCATTACTCTCAAAGTGTATACAAGTATATATCATTGATCCTTGTCGGGAAGGATCTTTGTTTCGACGGGCAAAAACCCGAAGTATTTTTGAGTTGTTGATTATAAAGTTATAAATAGTATGATGTGTGATAATGCCTTAGAAAATTAATGACATAAGATTTACAAAAAAAAATAAAAAAATTAATGACATAAGAATATTGATTAATTTTTTTTTTTTGAGCAAAAGTTAGGATCAAACCTTCTTGACCCCAACTTTTTGGCCTAAGCAAAGTTGACAGGCTTTCAGGCCCACTAGATATTACCAAATTCCAAAAAAAAAAAAAAAAAAAAAAAAGCCAAAAAAGAATAATTTTCTGTTTAAAAAAAAAAAAAAAAAAAGAATAATTTTCTCTCAATCTCATCCCAGAAACACCAGTCGAAAGAGTAAGTCGCGCAAAAATGCCGGGGTTTCACGCGCCGTCCGATTACTCCAATGAACCATCTCGTCATCCTTCTCTTAAAATCAATTCCAAGGCAATTTTCTCTCTTTTATTATTGATCATGATGTTAATTTGTTATGTATTCAGCAAGTTTGATTTTAATGATTATTTGTTATTTTACTCTGTTGAATTTTGCTGGAGTTTGAATTAATTCATTGATATTGCATTTTATAATTTTATTTTATTTTTGTTTGAAAATATACTGTTCTATCTAAATGCACCGAATTAATAAATGACTAACTGATTGAATTTTTGGAAATTTGTTTAGCTGACGAATTAGTGATATTTTTTATTTGATTAGTTGATTTTACTTTGACGCAATTTGATTGATTATTATTGTTTGTCTGATTTTTTTTTTTGGGGGATTGTTATTGGCAATAAAACATCTAGAGTTAATTTGGTAATTGATTTTTTTTTTTTTTTTTTGAGAAATGTTAATTGATTGTTAATAAAAAAATATTTGTGCTATGTTAAAAACAAAACTGTGCTAGCTTAAGTAAAATTGGAGTAATTTTGGAAATTGTTGGCAATAAAACATCTAGAATTAATATGGTAATTGATTGTTAATATTAAAATATTTATGCTATGTTAAAAACAAAACTGTGCTAGCTTAAGTAAAATTGGAGTAATTTTGGAAATTGTTTAAGTTAGAAATACATTTTTGATGAATTTTAGTGATTTAAATGATCATATCATACTTGTATGTAAACTAAATTCAAGTGTGGCCTGATGGTAGAACCATTGATAGTACTTCTGTTTTAGCAAAGAGTAAGTTGTCTAAATAGTATATACCGCTTGATTATGCATGTTTCGGACCAACTTGGAGTCATACGTTGTGTTAACAACCTTAGAAGTTTAGAACTATACTAAATCTTGAAAGTAATCAAAGAAAGAAAATTACTCAGTCTAGGAAATGTAGAAAACCCTTTCCTGGATTGAGAGTATATTGAAGATTGTTGATTGGCCAAATTCAGGCTAGGTTGTTGAAGGAAAGCAGGTCCGGGAAGACTTGTCAATAGTCATATTCATATGTTAATAGTATCAAGGATTATGTCCTTTGGCGATGATTTTTATGTAGTAGTACTCTCTACTCTCTAGATGGTTTAAAGAAATTACTGTATCAATGGAATTTTGAAAAGAATTTGGCAATTTTGTGTGACTTGCACTTTTGGAGGTAGCTTAAGACGTATTCATCTTCAAGGAATTGAGGTTCTTTGTTTATGTTTTTAGAAATGGCCTAAAATAAAGTCAATTGGGAGAGGATTAACATTCAATTTATTCCAGTGTGAAGGCTTTTTGCATGCTGCCATTAGCTCAAGAACCAGGCAATTTATTTTGGCTGTGGATGCAGTAATGTAGTATCACGTAACTAGCCTTGTTTTTATTGGCTAGTAAATTTGTAGTCAACATCTTTATTATTGTGCAGGAGCCTTTTAATGCTGAACCGCATCGATCAGGCCTCATATCCTCCTATGTGACTCCAGTGGATTTGTTCTACAAAAGAAATCATGGACCTATACCTATTATTGATGACATCGAAAGGTTATCCCTAATACTATAATCTTTGCAATACTTGGTGATACTTCTATACTGATGCAGTTGTATATTGTCTTGTAGGTATCGACTTTCTGTTATGGGCTTGATCAGCGTCCAAAGGGAGCTCTCCATGAGAGATATCCGGTAGGCAGGGGTTTGCAATATTTTGACTGCATTACTTTGTAGAGAATATGTCATACGCGTTATACCTTCAATTTGCTTGACTGGTCGCAAATTAGAAATTTTATCTTGTAGTTGAAGTGACACATGTGATCTACCTGATGGTTACCCTCTCCCCTCCCCCCTCCAGTTTGTTGTCATGTGCTCACATTGTTTCTTCTGTTTTAGGGACCTGCCCAAGTATACTGTAACAGCTACATTACAGGTTGGTTTTAAAATTTCAGTAATGAGAAATAAAGTGGGCTATTGGTTTTTGCTTTTGTGACGTGCCTTATTCTCCCAGAATAACTGTATATTGATCTTTCAATGCTACAGTGTGCAGGAAACCGCAGAACAGCTATGAGCAAAACGAAAAAAGTGAGAGGAGTTGGATGGGGCATTGCTGCCCTAGGAAATGGTTTGTGCTTTTCACATTGAATCAAATGAAGTATTATTAATTTCAGTAATATTGGGGCAATTTCTGTTCCTTCATTATATGCTGTAAACTATCCATGCTTTGCTGTAGGACTTCATCAATTTGTAAAATTAGAGAAAGAAGCAAACACGAGTTTGGCTATATTGGATAAGCAGGCTTTCTATAATGCTTATTTTTATGGAGTATAGTTTGCTGAATATAATCTGCAGACTACTGTCTTTTTTATGCCTGTTAAAGAACTTGGTGTATACTTGTTAGATAATTGCTTGCATAAACTGATGCTTAGAGAGTTTTGCTCAGTCCACCTTCCTAACCTTTTATTATCTTTTAACTTTAACTCAGCTGTATGGGGTGGAGCTAAACTAGCAGATGTGCTTGAACTTCTTGGTGTTCCTAAGCTAGCGAGTTCCACAGCAAGTGGGGGAAAACATGTTGAATTTGTCAGTGTTGACAGGTGCAAGGTAATGCTTCTTTCATTCTCTGTTTTGACTTTTTGAGTATACGTTTTTTCATCGTTCTTCAATAATTGGTGGGCTTTTTATTTATTTATTTCTAATTAAAAAATCTCTTGATGGAGAGTTTCACCAGATCTATTTGTTATTGAGTAGGAAGAGAATGGCGGTCCTTATAAGGCATCAATTCCGTTGAGCCAGGCAACTAACCCTGAGGCCGATGTATTACTTGCCTATGAAATGAATGGAGAGGTAATTTTTCTTCTAAGTTTTTACTGCCTCTTTTCTTCTTCAAAGTCTACCAAGCTTGCATCTAACGCAGGATTTTTCTAACACTCGTGAAAGAATTCCAGCTTAATGACTTACTCATCAAAGAGAGTTTGTTGATTTGTTCATTGTATTATTTGTAGACTTTGATTATATTAGAACACAGAGTTAATCTATTTTATATTTTGCTACATATCTACTACGTATAAAGTAAACTGTCCCTGCTAGTTAATCTGCAGCTAATGGAGTCACTTTATGTTGTGCCTTCTAAGGCCCTGTTCTATCTAACTTATTTTTGGCTCAAAAAAGTTCAGATCAGTTGAAACAAAAATAATCACACACCCCCCCCCCCCCCAACCCCATGCAAAAAAAGAATTTAGATAAAATAAGTCAAGTAAGTTCAAATAAGATAAGTTTAGGCAAGATGATTCAAATAGAATAAAGCTTAAATGTAGAGATGTGGGCATGTTTTGACAGAGGATGTGCAAGGAATCAATATTTGGGAGAAGGGCATATTAGTCATAGTCTATTATTAGTGACTTGGGGAATAAGCTAGAGTTTGTTAGGAGAGTCTTTCTATATATAGACCTCATTAGGAGGAATAATCATCATGTTGAATATAGTTGAGGTTATGTCATTGGGAGAGAGTGAGCCTCTCGAAAGCTCATATTAGGAGAGAATCCACCTCTCAAAAGTGGAATTATCCTTCTATTAGTGTAATTCACCTATTATCAATATAATCATCATTGTTCTTCCCTAACTTCTGCCATATTTAGAGCTGTAATCTGGTCAGAAACCATGCTAATTCCTAGCAGGATGTTAATCAGGGCTCATTTTATTTTTGCTTTCCCCACTCCCTAGTTCCTGTGTTATACCAGAGAAGAAAAAGGCTGATCAACTGCAGTTGAAACCTCATATGTATTGTGTTTGTAAAACTGATTTGAGTCTGATTTTCTTGCTGTCTTCTCTTCTGCGTGGAGACATCAGGCATTGATAATTTGACTGCCTAGAATTTCCATCATCTTGAGAAAAAAGATGAGAAAAATGGTTGTGCTATTGATTTTTCAATTAAGCTTCATTCATGATCACAACTGATCTCATGACCAGCATTAAGTGTCTTTGTGTGCAGTATCAATCTAACTTGAGTTTATCTGTTTTTGATATGACCTTAGCCTCTTAACAGGGATCATGGTTATCCATTACGTGTAATTGTCCCGGGTGTTATTGGTGCTCGTTCAGTTAAATGGCTGGATTCTGTCAATGTGATTGCTGAAGAATCTCAGGTTGGCTAATATAGAGTACTTGGTTTTTATAAGCTGTTATATATTTTCTCTTTAGGGGACTTAGTGGCCTATTTCATGCTGCTATCAACAGGGTTTCTTTACGCAAAGGGATTATAAAATGTTCCCTCCTACAGTTGATTGGGATAATATAAATTGGTCAACGAGGAGGCCTCAAATGGATTTTCCAGTTCAGGTATATGTATTCCTGAAAGCTGATGTCCACCTTACTCTGACATAACTTGTTCAAAAATACATTTGGGCAGAATGTGATTAGATTTCTGAACTTGAATTTGTGGGCATAATGAGAATTAACTGTTGCTTCTTTTTTTGCAGTCTGCCATCTGTTCCTTAGAAGACTCTAATGTTCTGAAGGATGGCAAGGTAATTTTGCTACATTTGTTCCTTCTCACTCAATAGTATTTCGTATTTGAAGAATGGGCAAAATATAGTTACATATGCGCTTTGTTCAAACTACAATATCAACAATTTAGCACTTAACATTCTGGAGAGTGGAGACCCCATCCAATGGCAAAATATCTCGGAATGTTTGCACTCTTAAGATATAATTATAAATCAAATGCACAAATATAGAAAGAATTTTATGTTCTTATAAAATATCTCCCGAAATCCTCTTTGCTGAATTCTGGCTTTCTTGGAATATCTCAACATTAGCAGTATCTGGTAATGGTATCTAAAACTTCTGATTATCTGGGTTTAGGTAACAGTCAAAGGATATGCACTATCTGGTGGAGGTCGTGGGATTGAAAGAGTAGATATATCCATAGATGGAGGTAAAACATGGGTGGAAGCCTCCAGATACCAGAAACCAGGCGTGCAGTATGTTGCAGATAGTTTCAACTGTGACAAGTGGGCGTGTGGGTATTCTTTGAGGCCGAAGTTGAGGTACAGCATAGAGCTGAGATAGTTGCAAAAGCGGTAAGGATGTGTTATACTACGTAGTACGTAATTAAATTCCTTTGTCTCTTCTCTTGCAGATACTTTGGTCTGCTACTTTTTTATTTATTTATTTTTTATCTATAAATTTTTATACAAACTGGCTTGATGTATTGTGGTCACTGAATTTTTTTTAATGAAAAAACTTTATAAGGTTGTCTCATGTGTAACTTTAAGTTTCTGTTTTCTGTCTATGTAGAACACTAGAACAGCAGCTTAACTGCTATTACTTCTGTAATATAAAATCTTTTGATTAAACTCATTTCATGTTCAATTATTGTTGTGAGTTTTTCTAATGGCGCTGTTTGTGCTTGATGTTTTCTTTGATTTGTGGTAGGTGGATATTGCTGCAAATGTGCAGCCCGAAAGTGTAGAAAGTATCTGGAATCTGAGAGGAATTTTGAACACATCATGGCATAGGGTTGATGTTAGAATTGGTCACTCAAGTATGTGATATCTCAAAGTCTACCTTATTGTATTTGCGTTGACAAAATTTTAACCATATGTGGCAAGACTTGCAATTCTATTTCTGGACTTGGTGAATAACCTATAAGCTACTATGTATGGTTATTGTATGTACTGTATCAGAGCTAGATTTTATGTTTTATGCGTGTAATGTTACTCATTAACTGCACAAGGCTAGTCTCTGGTGAGGCTCTTTTTTCGTGGTTTGAAGCTCTTTTAATCAATCGTTTGATTCGTTTCTGTTCCTTGTCTTGAACCTGTCAATATGGAGCAACTATTTTTAGCTTTTTTTAAAAAATACACCTTTCTCTTAAAATGATGAGTATACAATGATTATTCAAGCTGTTTAGCTTATCAGGGCATTAAGATTATCCCTTGTGCTCGTTTAAAAAAAAATATATATACGTTGTAAAGAAAAAACTCTTCCATTTTCTCGTTTCTTATTATTTTTCCATAGTAAAACAAGAATTTTTAAAAAATTAAAAAAAAATATTGAAACAAAATGGCTTCGCCCAGGTTCGAACTGGGGACCTTCAGTGTGTTAGACTGACGTGATAACCAACTACACCACAAAACCTCTTCTGAACAAAGTATTCAAAATATATTAATTATTAAAATCAGCAGTAACACCTAAAAAAGAAAATAAGCGGGAAATGCGAAAATAAAATAATACAAGTACTGTAATAAAACCCTCCAAAATCAGGAAAACCTTCACAAAATCCTTCTCTCTTTCTTTCTCTCTCCTGAAAGTTACAGTAAGAAAGGAGGTTGAAAGAGGTGCAACAATGGCGAATCAAGAGGAGAGAGAAGAAAACCAGCAAAATTGGAGAAAAGAAGTCGATAACAACATCAACCGTCTTCAATCTCTACTCTTCGGCGCCGATTTCGCTTTAGAGAATCGCGATTATTCTTCCGCACAACTTCTCAGCCTTCGTCTCCTCGGTTTTCTCGATTCTCGCTCTCAAAACGACGTCGATTCCTCGTTTATTCATCCTATTCGCCGCGATGCTTTGTCTAAGCTCGACGCTTCTCGCCGTCAACTCACTCCCGTTTACGACCGGTAACCCTCTCTCTCTCTCTTTCATGTTCTTCGGAGTTATTTATAATTTCTAGTTTTCCAGGTTTTTTTTTGTTGATTTTGGTGAATTTTTTGTTTGATGATGAATCTTTGATTCGAGATGATGCTGAATTGCTGAATGATTTCGTTTTTCGAAAATTTTGGTGAAAACATTGTATACATGTGCTTAATTTTGTTCGATTTTGCTGTTCATGAAATCGATTACTGTATTTTGATATTGAATGGAGCTGCAATTTGAGATAATTTGATTTTTATCCATTTTTCAAAATTATTGTTTTGTTTTTGAATAAGAGGAACTCATTTGGTGTAAGGCTTTGTTTTAGAAGTTGAATCTCTATATTTTGATGATTGCGAACATCGTTTCATTGATTATAAGAGATGAAGCTCTAGTGGATTTATATACTTAGGCTTTTGGAAGAAGGATTAGGACACATGTGAATTGCAATTTTGTTGATTGGATAAGTTAATGGTGTTTATTTGAAAAATTACTTATTTTAAATTCTGTAACTAAACCAGAAGAACTTCGCGTCATTGGTTGGAGGAACTCTTTGTTGTTCGGGTTTTGTAAGGAAAACTAAGACATACTTTGTATATTGTATTGCGATTTGTTGATTGTAGGAGTTTGTTGGCCAACACATATGATACATAGCAAAATGATTTTTCTCTTAAATTGATTGCTAAGGTCATCTTATTCTTACAACCTCAAAAGAACTTAGTTTGAAATATGTTTAGGCATTAGATGCTCCAAGAACTATAAAGGAAAATAAAGCTTATGTCTTCCTTAAATAATTCAACATAACCCTATAGAGATGGATACTTGTGACACGACATGCCTTGCGCTATTATTGTACTCTATATATAAGTGAAAAATACCTTGAAGGAAGATTGGAGAGTATAATTGTATCCATGAAAATGCTCACTGTATGTGGTCATAAAAGGGAAAGGATTGCATGTGAGGTCATAGAATGTTGTATTCTCTGTTTGCAGCTACAAGAGAGAAGCTATTAGTGTCAAAAAACGAGAAATGAGATTTATTAATGGCTTTCTGAATGACCTAGTCAGAGATCATATGTAGGAAACACTGGTTCCCTCAGAAGCCATTGTGTCCCAACCTATCAAGATGGTGGGGAACATATCAATATGCCAAATCCGGTCTAGTCACCGAGAGATAAATTAACCGCCCTACCAGTCTACGATAAGACTCAGGATTCTCAAGTAACTCACCACTAGCAAGACTTAGCTTGTGGTTCTGCTCAATTGGAAAACCAATAGGTTTCGCACCTAGTAACCCTGCTTCAGAAACAATATCCAAGGTGTATTTTCGTTGACACAAAAACAAACCTGATTTACTACGAGCAACTTCAATGCCCAAAAAATACATCAAAGGACCAAGATCCTTCATCTTGAAACAATCACCAAGATAAGCTTTGAACACATTTAATGCAGCGGAATCATTCCCAGAAATAATAAGATCATCAACATAAACTAAGACATTAATCTGAACAATGCCTTTAGTTTATGTGAAAAGAGAATAATCAGAGTAAGACTGAATGAAACCATACCCTTTTAGAGCCGTAGTGAGTTTTGCAAATCAACATCTCGGAGCTTGTTTCAACCCATACAAAGACTTTCTCAAACCACACACCAAACTCGAATCCGAGCTCTCAAAGCCTGGGGGTAATTTCATGTACACTTCCTCTTCTAGATCACCATGTAGGAAAGCATTATGAACATCCATCTGCTGAATCTCCCAATTTTTTGAAACTGCTATAGCAAGAAAAGCGCGAATAGTAGTCATTTTTGCAATCGGAGCAAAGGTCTCACCATAATCAATGCCTTCTCGTTGATGATTACCAAAGACAACCAAACGAGACTTGAGACGCTCAATATCACCATTAGACAAAAATTTCGTCTTATACACCCATTGACACCCTAGAGCTTTCTTGCCGGGAGGAAGATGCTCCAATGTCCAAGTCCCATTATCTTCCAATGCCCTTATTTCTTCTTTCATAGAATGTCGCCAACCTTCGAATTTCATCGCTTCTTTAAAGGATTTTGGATCCTTTCCTAAAACAACGGCTGCAAGGAATTTGCGATAATTCACAGAAAACGTGTCACAATTTATATAGTGTGCTAGAGGATAAGGCGTACCTGAAGGAGAGATTGGAGACAGAGTGGACGGAGACGGACTTTTAGCAAAAACTGAGTGAGTCACATAATCACGATGACGAACATTGGGAATTTTTTCCCGGAAACCACGACCCAAGGGAGCCGTGTCATGTGCTGCGGAGCTGCTGCCCTCCTCGGTAGTCCCAGCTAGCTGCTGCTGGCGATCAGAGGAGTTGCTGGCCTCCTTGGCAGTCCCAGCCAGCAAGTTATGGTGCTGCTGCGGGGCTGCTGTACTGGCAGGCAGCTTGTTTAGCTGCTGCTGCTGGACTGTTGTACTGGCAGGCAGTCCAGTGGCGTGGCTGTGTTGCTGCCCTGCTGTGCCAGCAGTCGCAGGGTCCCCGAAGATGGGCTGCTGAACCAAATCATGGTATGGGTGCTCTGCCACACTGTCATCCCCCACATTTGTGCCCAAACCATCGTCATTATCACCCCGCAAATCAAACTCCACAAAATCATCATGAATGTCATAATTCGACTCATACACTTGTGACTTAAGATTAGCATCTTCCGGAGTAGCAAATGGAAACACATCTTCCACAAACTTGACATCCCGAGACACAAAAAAAAACTTTCGACTCAAGGTCATACAATCTCCATCCTTTCTTCCCAAAGGGATATCCCACAAAAATACATTTCCTACTCCGATTTGCAAATTTGTCTCCATTTATTTTCTGATTATGAGCAAAGCACAGACATCCAAAAGTACGAAGGGCATCAAATAAGGGAGGTTTATTGAACAAAATTTCAAATGGAGTTTTATTTTGTAATAAAGGAGTGGATGTACGATTAATTAGGTGGGCAGCGGCAAGAACACATTCCCCCCAAAAATAAATAGGCAAATTAGCTTGAAACCTCAAAGCTCTCCCAACTTCAAGAATGTGTTTATGTTTTCTCTTAACCCTCCCATTTTGTTGCGGAGTCCCCACACAGGAGGTTTGAAAAATAATACCAGTAGCACTAAAATAATCATGCAAGCAATTAAATTCAGTGCCATTATCACTTTGCACCACCTTAATGGTTTGAGAAAATTGTCTATCAACCATTGCAACGAAAGCTAAGAACATTCGAAAAACCTCAGTTTTATCAACCAACAAGTAAATCCAAACAGCTCGAGAATAGTCATCAACAATAGTAAAAAAATAACGAGCACCACACGAAGAGACATGTCGATACGGACCCCACAAATCACAATGTATTTTTTCAAAAATCCTAGAAGCTATACCATCACTCAAAGAAATTTTTTCTCTATAATGTTTAGCACGCATACATACCTCACACTCGTTAGAGAGATGATGTTTATTGCCACTAACATGAGGAAGTAACTTAACCACTTTTTCGGATGGATGACCCATTCGACGGTGCCACAACTCCAAAGTCGACATTGTATTGCCTACATCCACATGATTCACCGAATCTGAATTGCTAAAATAGTATAGTCCGTCTCTCCTAGCTCCCGTTCCAATCAACTCCTTCGTTTGATCCTGTACAACACACATATAAGAATTAAACTGGACAATAAAATTAAGAGTATCAGTAATTTGTGACACAGAAAGCAAATTGCAACTCAAATTAGGAACATAAAGAACCCCGGTTAGAATGAGTTTGTCCGACAAACGGACAGAACCAATCAAAGAAGCCAATACAGTGTCACCATTGGGAAGACAAACGGGACACTCAAAACTCTGCATATCGAACAACCAAGATTTGTCTCCGGTTACATGATGGGTTGCACCTGTGTCAATAATCCAAGAAGTAACATCAAATTTTCCATTCAAACGATTATCAGGAATATTAACATTTCCAAACCATCCCGTAATTGCATTAACATGAGCACTCGAAACTACATTAGCTTGCACTGTACATTGCCCCTCCGGACTGCCGTAGCCCTCATGACCATGATCGAAACACACACAACCCTTTCTTGGGACTGTACGGACAGCAGATCCGAGAACAGCACTAACTGAATTTGGGCAATCTTGATGTTGCGTAGCTGTGTTGTTGGCATTGTGCAACGGACTAGCGTATTAAGACAGTAAGTAAGACGAAGGTTATTGTTTGATTGCTAAGCTTAAAGCTTCCGAAAGATAAATATGGCTTTAGGCCATAACTCTCCGAGTGTTGGCTTACAAATTTCTGGATGATTCTTTCATTCTAAGCTACTACTTCTTATACTACAATTACCTTACTAGAATAGGCAACATAGCCCTTAATTACTACAATTGCTACTATTGTCCTTATACTATTTTAGTGCAATACAAACAAAAAGATTAAAGCTGCCTGTCTGCCTGCTGCCCCCTTAACGGTCCTCTGTTTTCCCTCTTTGCTGTGGCTTAAGGCTTGTTGTTGTTGGTGGTAAGTGGCTGCCTCTTTTGTCTCCTGCTGTACACAAAATTCACGGGTGGAGGGTGTTGGTGTATTGCAATACCGCCCCCCAAAAGTGCCACCTTGTCCTCAAGGTGGAAGTCCGGAAATTGCTCTTTGATTGCTTCGACCTCCTCCCAAGTAGCCTCAAACTCGGGCATTCCCACCCACTTAATGAGCACTTCAATGCTGCCACTGCTCCCTCCCTGGCGTCTAACCTCCAAGACTTGCTCCGTTCAGCAACCATTTCGAGCTCCGAAGTCAATTTAAGTGGAATAGTAGGATTGCTAGGGACATCTCCTATGGCGCCTTTCAATTGAGAGATATGGAAGACCGGATGGATACGACATTGCTCGGGAAGTAGTTTATAGGCGACCTTACCCACGCGCTGCACTACCTCATAGGGTCCATAAAAACGCGCGGCCAGCTTCTCATATGGTCTCCTAGCCAAT